CATCCTTGTTCTTACGTTAAATGAAAAGGACGTATAAGTAATGGAAAAAATATAGTGTGTGAATAAAATCCTATATATAAAACCTAAAAAGGAATTCATAACGCCCTCATCACCATTTGTTCATCAAGAGGATGTTCATATGTTCAGCGATGTTCAACAGTTGTTCACCGTGTCCAGAGGCCATTACGGAACCAGATCGTTGTCGTTCATGGCTTTTAAACTGGCTAAGCACCATGATTCAGCAGAACTTGTCTCTCCTCCTTCCCCCCTCCCCCTCTCACCTCCTCCTCCCCCTCCTCTTTCTCCTTTCTATCCTTTTAACCACTTCTCCCCCTCCCCCTCTCCTTTTTCTCCCTTACCTCACCTTTTCTTTCCTTCCTCCTCTTCCCATTTTCGCTTTCTTCTCCCCATCTCACCGTTCCCTTCCCATCTCCCCTTCCTTCCTTCCTTCCTCCTCCCTTCCCTCACCTAATCCCATCTTTCCTCCCCTCTAACCCCTCCCCCCTCCCTCCTCCCTACCCCTTCCCCTCCCCTACCACTATGGCCATTCACGCTTCCCGTCAAAACCTTGTCACGTGATTCCGTTTGTTTGCGTTGGTGTTGTAACTGTCACGTGGATCTGAGATGTGGTCTTTTTGTGTTTTTTTTTGTGTGACAATATTTTTTTCTTGTTATTGTTACCATTATTATTCATTGTTATCATCATTACTATTATCATTATCATTGTTATTATTACTGTTGATTATTGTCCCTATTGCGTTTACCATTATCATTGTTACTGTTATTATACATTATCATGTTAGTTACCAATTATCATCATTGTTGCTGTTATTGTTATCACTAGTGAGAGGGAAAGAGAAAGAAAAGAGAGAGAGAGAGAGAGAGAGAGAGAGAGAGAGAGAGAGAGAGAGAGAGAGAGAGAGAGAGAGAGAGAAAGAGAGAGAGAGAGAGAGAAAAAGAGAGAGACAAAGAAAGAGAAAAAGAGAGAGACAAAGAAACAGACAACCAGACAACCGGAGAGAAAGACAACAACAACAACAACAAACACAACGACACAGCCCCGAAGTCACCTTCCCTGCCGACCCGACATATCCCAAAGGCTCGCATATCCCCAGCACCTCGACCACGGCCGCCATTTGCATCTCCATCAGGCGACGGAGAGCAAAGCAGGCTCCTAGTTCTGACTAGCAACAACAACTAGCAGTCTGTCCAGGCGGATCTAGGTTCAAGTTCACCGGGCACAGCCATGTATAGCGCTAATGTCATGTGCGTGTCTTGTGTATGTAATGCTTCTTACGTTCTTACATGCGCACATGTACACATTCCTTACGTCCATACCTTCTTCCTCTGGTGATGATGTCATGGTATTTATAATCATATGCGTATAGATGCCCCATACATATGTATAGCGTCATATACATATACAGTACAGACATACATATATACACTCCTTTCTGTTCGTTAGGATGTCATGATACGTATGATTTTATATATGATGTCATATATGTGCACAGATGTAAACATATGTAGTGTCATATTTTCGTACGTGTTTATATCCAAATATAAACGCCCTTAGTGCTATTAACTGTATTCATCCTTATGTCTTTTTTTATGAACTTTATATATTATAAATCGCAAGTGTAATATAGAATATAATAAAAAAAAGAAATACAGGTTATACAGATCTGAGAATAACTGCTATCGATGGACGTTTTATCATTCGGTAGTTTATTAGAAAAAAGAAAAGAAAAAGAAGAGGAAAAGGAAGAGATGAGAGAACACACAAAAGAAGTCGACAGAAAAAAGACCTTGGAATAATAATAATAAAAAAATAATAATAAAAAAATAAAAGGAGGAGGAGGAGAAAGAAGAAGAAGAACAACAACAACAGCAACAACAACAACAACAACGCTAAAAGACAAAAACAAAGAGAATATAAGGTAGAATAAATAAACAAACATAAGGAAGAAAGAAAAGAAACAAAATCTCCCTTGCGATTTTCTTCCAAATTATGAATACAAAGACGATCGACAGGCTCTTTATCACCTCCCTCAATGTCAACAAAGGTCAAATTCATCGTTGTTTCTATTTAGACTTCGACCTAAGACACCCGAGGTTCATTAATCGTCTTTCGGTTTGTTTGTTTGTTTGTTTGTTTGTTTTTTTGCGACGCGGAGTATTTAGAGAAGTTTTTGTTTTTGTTTTTCTTTTGTTTTTCTTATTATTTTGTTTCTTTTGGTTTATTTGAGGATGAGTTTTATGTTGATCTTCATGTTTCAGGTTTAGATGTAGCATTTATTTATCTGTTTATTCTCCTCCTCCTCCTCCTCATCATCATCGTCATCCTCCTCCTCCTCATCACCATCGTCATCATCGTCATCCTCCTCCTCATCATCACCATCGTCATCATCGTCATCATTATCACCATTATCATCATCATCATCACCATTATCATCATCATCATCATCATCGTCATCACATCCTCACCATCATCATCATC